TCGTACAGTAAAACCTCATTAAACCGGATATCACTCAAGACGGACAAAATTATTTGCCTCCCCCCCCCGGACCTCCTGTACAGTATTTAGATTTTTTTTTTTCTTATTTACTGGTATTATTTTTATTGATTCCTCATGTTTCCTGTGGTACTGTATTTATTATTTTAAGAAAACTACAGTATGGCTACAGGAGGAAAATACAGACAGAAGTTTTTTCCTAAATGCTCCCTGCTGTAATGGGGGGTGGGTCTTATATGCCGTAAAGTACGGTACTGTATTTTTGGTGTTTTATATATCATTATTTATAATTTTTATACATTTAGTACATTTGCTGTAGGCTGAAGTAGCATTCCTATTTTGTGCATTATTATTGAAAGATTAAACAATGACTATGGCTCCTAAGAAAGTGTTTGGTATCTGTAAGGGTGGTGAGAAGGTTAAACCTAAGACTTATCAGTGAACTAAAAGTTAAGTGTACAGTTCTTTGGGTACAATACTTTTTTTAATTAATTTTTATTAAAAGGACATGTATTTCTTTCATAAAAATTAGGCTCATTGGTGTTGTGCTAATTTTTTTTTTTAAATGATGGTCTTTTGGGAAAAAATTTGCTCTAAGGTGGACAACCTCTTATCCTGGATACCCCTTCCCCTCAATTAGTCCGCCTTAGCGAGGTTTTACTGTACATGAAATAACATAACATGGAAAAATGACGTTCTGTTCCCCAATGACAAGAAAACCCGATTACAGTACAGTAATCTCCCTGTTTGTCAGAATTTCCGGTCCTCGGAATTCTCCGATAGCCGGAATGAAGTTGAACCCTTGGGAAATTCTGTTAAAATTCTTTAAATTCCATGTATGGGAATGCATTTCCAAGGATGAAATTATGTGCATTTCCCAGATTTTTTTTTTCCTTTTTATAAAATCTGTCTTGGACATGGGAACAAATTTTCCGGGAGTTCTGTGAGATTGCATCATTCTCTGACGCATCCCCACGTGCCGTGCTCGTGGGTGGGCAAGCTGCTTGGGTAACATAGGCAGTAGACTCACTCTCTGAGTTATATTCTTGTGCCATTGTGCAAGGTTGGTCGCTGGTTTTTTTTTTTTTTTTTTTGCTTACCATTTGTGTTGTGCAATACTGTACATTACTATACCAGGTCATAATCAGCTAAGAATAGTGTTAAAGCAGTGTTAAGATATAAAAAGTGATTACAGTTACTTATATTGTACTGTAAGTGTGAAAATGCTGTACATACAGTACTGTACATGGCAGAGTGGACACTATGCTTACTATAGGCTAGTGTGTAGAGGTGTATACAATGCATGTTCAATCCCTTCATGGAGGGAGAGGAGAGTGACAGTAACACTTGCTCAAAGGCAGCCATACTGTATCATCATATCACCATTTGGCCTCCCTGCCCAAGACAACTGCATCTGCTGGTGAGTACAGTACAGTATAGTGTATACAGTAGTATATTTTGTGTATTTAAAACAGTGGTGTTTGCATAAATAAATACAGCTCTTTGTCTGTTCATTTGAGAAGTGTAGTTTAGACTCAAAGAAAACTTCCCAAGTACAGTTCTGGGTGGAAAACTCTACTGTCTTGTACAGTACACACAATAAAGAAAAGTACTGCATGGATTATGTGTGAAACAATATGACACCAGGGGCGAGGGACTGTGGAATATGTGTGTAAGACAATTAATGTAATGGTGTTTATGATTTTATGCTGGTCCTATGGATGTAACTAATATGGCCCTGCCATAGGTAGATGGAAACCTCTGCCATAAAGGCAAGCATACCAACCCTCCCGGCACATCAGATGATGTATGGATCATTACGGAAGTCAGCAGATCCCTCCTGCGCGATACTTTTATTTACTGTGTGTACCTACCAGCCCCAAAATATCATATTTTTTGTATTGTTAAAAATTTTCTTTTTATTAACTATTCAGGATTATTTGGGTAAAAAGTGGTGTTTCTAACTTAATTAGAACTGATTTTATAGACTCCGGTATGAACATTTCTTTCTTTTTATAATAAAAGAATTCAGTCCCCATCATTGTAGCATGTCAAAATATTTTGTTCAATGATCTTTTATTAAAACAATATTGTAGAAATTTATTCAAGATCATTTTGGTACCAAATTCATCTTTCGAGCACAATTTGAACAGATGCTGGTGATAAAAAATTACAGTACTGTATGCACAACCTTAAGTATTTTTGTTTGTGACCACCATCTACTGTATATGTAATGGGAGAGTGTTTGTCTGTGCAAATTGCATAGTTTAGGCTCTTGGAAAACTTTCCCCAGCATCCAGAAACATTCTGCGGCTGTGCGATAGTGTTTGTCTGTGCGAGATAAAGATTAGACGGGGAAAATTCCGGGGCTATGATTTTTATTATTTTTTATTTTTTCCAGGATGAGAAAATTTGTCTCATTACCTGGAAATCTCTCATTCTTGGAAGAGCTCTGCACCAATTATTCTGGCTAATGGAGATATCACTGCTTATTGTTCATATCAAAATTAAATACGTAGTTCACAAAACAAAAATTAGCTCACTACTGTAAACTATTATAGGCACTGGATCATTTATCCAACAACCTTGGGACCTGAGGTGAACCAGTTTCCTGAATTTGGTGGATTTTTAGTCCTAGGTCCTTCCATCTTCAAAGATCCTCTGTCTGACACCCAGCGACCCAGCTGAGTCAGAGATGTGTGTGGCTACTACATTGTGTGCATGCTGTGACTCACTGTGCTGGTGATGCAAGGCAGGAAAAACTCATACAGGTGTTATAAAGAGAAAATAGTTATTTTAAACTAAAATTGGTCTGACTGGCTAAGTCACCGGATGCACTGTTGACAGACTGCCCACTGGCCCCTCACATTCATTCACCTCCCACACAGAATAAACATCCATGCTCTTTATTTTTCTTATTTTATTGTTTTAAATTATATTTTATTCCGGGTTTGGGGGATTTCGGCTAATGGAGATATTACCGTGTGTGCGTGCGTGCGTGCCTGCCTTTGCCTTTTGGTTGCCGAAAGGATTCTGTGGTTATCATTTACATAGTCATTTAACCGCCAAGATGAAATACACTGTATCTCAAGTACATAGGGGGTGGGGGGTAATGTTAGTGTCAATGGGCACTGTGGCATCTCACTTGACCTACAACCATGCCTTTCTGTATACGTACTGTATTTGTGTGATACTGTACTGTACTGTACTGTACTGTATGTCAATATAATACCACAATTTTTTTTCAATGTCTTTCAGTTTGTTACATTTTCATTCTTTCTCAGATTTATCTTTTTATCGTCTTGATCTTTATGTTTATTTTTCCCACCATCTTTTTTATACCATTAGATGCAATAAAAATATTACTGTATTTTGATGCAATAAGTTCAACTGCTCACTGACAAAAGAATCCTAAGCACTACTGTACTGTATATATTTTATCTCGCTCAGGTCAGATCAGTTATGATCTATACCTTCTTCAAGTTCTTTTGCTAGAAATAAGTAATGAGTAATACTCATACCTGTTGCAGCATGTATTGGATGTATTCTTTTATCTTTTTATCTTTTTCTCTTAGAATTTCAAACCAACCTGTTGCAGTATGAAGTCTCCTGCTTAACTCTATCCATCCATTTAGATCAAGCAGTAAAAAGCTTTGCTCACATAATCAGTCCTTATATTACCTGTTACATTTTATGATAAAGCTTTCTCAGATTCCTCTTCCCTATAAATATGCAATAGATTTATTATTTTATATAAAGAATTGTTGTCAAAACCAAATTTATAACTACTGTCATAGAACCTACATCTTTTCATATCACCATTCATGTTCCAGTTTCTCATACCATCCTCTTTCATTAGTTTTCAAGTCAACTTGTATTCCATATGTTGTCCTTGAAACCCACTCAGTTGTTCCATTCCAAACAGATAATTAATTTCTTCCCATTTTTGTCTAACATTCTTAATGTTTCCATATTCTATACCTGATTATATTAACTGCAGTGTGTACATTCTTTCTATGTAGTAATGTTTTAAATTTGCCCACTCTGACCAGCTCTGTAGATCCTACAACATCTGTGTTCAAGGCTTTTTGCACTAATAATTTCTTGAGCAGTAACAAGGTGCCCAGCTGCCTCTCATCCCACCTCTTGAGTTGCCTCTTATGTCACATGAATATAGAAATTCATATTCTTTTGACTCATCCTCCAATTAGCCCTTTGTAGTTATGAAATTTTGATGTCGGTAGTTATAATCAGCAAACGTAAGTGTCTTTGATGTACAATACTACTTTACCTTTTAATTTTTTCCTTGACCCCAAATGATCCTAAACATACCTCACTTATTTTCTTCTTTAGTCACCAACTCATCTTTTCAGATGATGCATCAGGACAAAATTTATCTTGACATTAAAGTGAATTCACACCAGAAAGCAGTCAATAGCACTTCCTTCAAGATACAATGATATTCTTCTGTACTGTATGCACCTGAACTAACGATCAGAGAGCTCTGGTAACAGTCATCAGTCATCTTTTTAGGCCACGGGTCATCCATCAGCAGTGTATCACTTCTTTTTTACACACAATAACCATTAATAGCCCCTGTCTTTTACCTTTATTTGTTTCCAGATATAGAATAGATAATCTTTATTCTTGGTTTCCAATACATATTAATGATTGAACTTTCCCACCTTAAAGATGTGTATCCTGATATTCTTTGTTTCCTGATTTATTTCTCCTGCATTTCTGACAACTGTAATACCCTCATTACTTGTCTTGGTGGTTTCTTGGCACACAGACTATGTATGCTCTTGGCCAAATGCACCATCAAAGCTCCTCCCTCCCCTCCCCTCCCCCTATCTTTTGTTTTTAAACCTTCCATTCTACTAGTCATTTTTGCAACCCTCATGTCCTCACACGTAGTCCATCGTATTCTGTGTGGCACTGGGCTCTTTATTCCTGCCAATAAGGCCTCTCCATCATTTCAGTGGTTCGTTGGAAGATAAAGATAAACCTCACTCATCTCCACGGTAAGTATGATTGTGACTGCATGTTTATGTCAAGCCTGAGAAAGCTTTAGCTATCCCTAAGCCACCTTGGATTACCCAAAGATGACACAAGTAATTTCATAACCTTACATCAGGAATAGTGTGCCTAGGTAAAGTAATAGCTAAAAAACATGTATGCCTGAGGCCACTAGCTGCTCCCATACAAGTTGTTAAAGATATAATTTGGGATATACAAGAATAAGATAACCATTTTCTTGTTATAATGTGCCATAGTACTCGTGGGATGTCCAAAGCTCTTTTTGGATAACTTATTAGCTAGCTAAACCTGTGTGATTTGTGATATTGAAAAATTTTTAGGTGCTTACCTTTGCCCACTAATGCGCTAACAAATTTGTATCAGCCAATCACTTTCAAAAGCTGCTTTTGCATACACAAAAGAAAAACATATAGAAAAGGAGGATAGAGATAACACACACACACACACACACACACAGTACTGTACTGTACTGTACTGTACTGTACTGTATATATATATTGAAACTCAAGAATAATTTACCAGTACAGCTATCACCTACATTGTAAAGGGAATACCTTCTTCAAAAGTTACTCATACCTGTAATGTGACTATGGATGTCACCCCCCCCTTTTTTTTTTTTTTTATACCCAAAGAAAAAAATTTGCTCAAAGTTAGAATAAAATCACACTTGAGAATGTAATGAATGTTTAGAATAACATTTAATGTAATATTGATTTATTTTAAATCTTATTTTATTAATGATACGCAAAAGCCACAAATTCATCTTAACACTGATGTTGGTCAGTGTGTAGGGTGGTAGTACATGTCAGGTGATAGAATGGATTTGGCAGCCTTTTATCAAATAAATGTGAAAACAGCCAGTGTACTGTACTCAAAACGAGCAGAATTGACTGTGATCATGTCAGATAGACACGGTGAGTGCCAACTTGAAACACCAGCGGATGCTGCATCAAATGTGCGCCAAGATAAATCAGTTTAAAAACCTTCATTTATTTGGTGAAATTTTTCTTTCTACATACTATATATATAACATAAGTTGAAAATTTACTCCATTTCTATATGTTAAAATTTTCTTGCTGTTTCCTGTAATTAGTGGTCATAATTTATCAAATCTGTTAGAATGAAAGTCTGCATCCTGAATATCCTTATTTGGAGAACGACTGTATAACTCATGGGAAAAAAATAGGTTACATTCCCTGCAGTCCAGTTACGAAGATATAATAATTACAGGGGGTCCCCGGGTTATGAACGGGTTCTGTTCCTCAGGACATTCTTAAGTTTGATTTGTATATAAGTCGGAACATATGCTATGTGCATACCGTACTTACAGAACAATGTTTAAAAGCCCACTATATTATAGCTCAAGTCCTTGTATACATCTAAAATTACTTAATTTAAGACAAAGGAAGAAATGGAATGATGAAATACAGTAAATATAATTTTTAAATAAAGTCATCAGGTAAATAAAATACTTGTACTGTAAATTTCAAGATTAACCCCATTCGTATCGGCGGGCGTTTATAAGTCAGGGACCCCCTGTATTATAATTTTAATACTTCACTGTACATATTTGCATATTAAATAATAATACGTAATAATAGTAAATAATAATAATAATTATAATAATAATAATAATAAATAATAATAATATGGGTAATGCAATAAATGTGTGTACTAATGTTACAAGACACCCTCCAATGCTAGAGTGTGAGTACTGTAGAGGACAGAAGGTGAAGTTTGAAGAGGAGCCACTGTTATCCCCAAACACTGGTGGCTCTTGTCACCACTGGAGGAGTGGAGTTGTATTGGTCTTGGTGGACATGGCTGACAGACTGCTGAGGGAGTGAGGTGTCTGGTAGTTTACTGTGTGAGGAGAGAGGAGGAGGTGGAAGCTGCAATATATGAGTTTTCAGGAAGAGATGTCATAGATTGAAGACAAAGGTGATGATTTAGTGTAGCTCTTGAAATAACGGGTGATGAATGCTTGCCAATTTGACATCCTTATTGTCTGCTCATGAAGGTTAATGTAGATCTAGAGGGCCCCATCAGTGAAGTTGGTGGAGTGTGTTCTCTTCTCATGGGACAGGTCTTCATTTTGTTACCCAACTGCTTCTGCAGCACAGGACTCACTTTCTCAGGAAAAATATTTTTTTTGTTTCTTCCTTTATCATTTGAAATAACTTGTCAATATCTATCTTCTAGCAGTTTGATTAATGGAAAATCTTGACATTTGCTCAGTCATTTTGTTGAACCCAGCTTCACCTGTATGCTGCGCCAGCTCAATCGTCCACCTCACCTACCCGTATATACAGTAGTATTTCAGTACTGTATGTTTTTATTTAAAATACACATGCAATGGTGAAAAACATTAATAAAACAATGAAATCTGCTTATAACACACTATACAAACCCTTGCTATTCAGGGGGGTTAGATTCCAAGAAATGGCACGAATTGGTAAAACCACAAATAGCAACTTATACTACCTTAGTGCGCTACTGTATACCTATTTTGTATGAGAAACTTATGTCACCAACACTACTCTCCTTTGTATGTGGAAGTTTGGAGCTTGAGGAAGTGTACTGTACAGTAGGATGAAATCTGGTTACTGAAGCATGGGGAGATCATCAGGGTCAGTGTTGGAAATGGGTGATGCAATGGTGGTTGGTGGAGAGGCGTGTGGCGAGGAGGCTGGTGATGGGGTGGCGAAGAGGTGGGTGGTGGAGCAGTGGCAGCAGCTGACCGAGTAGGTGAAGGAGACAAATCAGCGGGGCAAGAGGATAGTTCTTTCTTGAAAAACATGGTGATTGGTAATTATTGTCTTCTGGCTTTGAGGTGTTTAAACATTTCCTGGTAGGGAACCAATGCCTGGTTGATTTCTAGGAGGATCTTAAGGATCCATTCCATGGAAGGGTGGTGGTCAACAATGAAATCAGTTACCACTTTCAATGTCGAAATAGTTCACCAAAATTTTTCAAGCCCCAACCTTATTGTTGCAATTCAATAATTTCTTCAGCTCCATTTTCCTCAGCACTTTTTACCAACTCTTCCAAATCCTTTTCTGTCATTTCCTTTCCATGCCTATCAATCGGCTCTTCCACGTCTTCAGTGGCTATGTCCACAAACCTCTCATCATCCAGTTGATGTGAAATATTCACAATGTTATTCACATCCTTTACTATGGACAGAAATATCTGGAAGTTATTCATACACCCTGGCCATAGGTTTTGCCAACAAGCATTCACTGTCTCTGGTTTTAGTTCACTGAATGATTCACTGATGTTGGTAATGAGTTTGCAATGTTGTACTCCTTCCAACACCTGCTAACATGAAGGTCAGGGTGTGCGTCCGTGGCACTACAGATATGACCAAAAGAGCGTCGGGTGTTAGGGGGTAGGAACACCACCTCTACACCTAGGTGGCTAAACTGCAATCTTTCTGGGTGGCCTGGTGCATTATCTATGACCAATAGCACCTTGAATTCCATCTCCTTGGAAGCAAGGTACTTTTCCACTTCCGGGATGAAGCATTTATGGAACCAATCCAGGAATGCTTGCACAGTTACTAATGCCTCTTTGTTGGACTGCCAAAAGACTGGCAAAAGGTTCTTGTTTTTTCCTTTTAAAGCGCCTAGGGTTTGCTGAGTGGTAAAGCAAGCTGTGTTTGATCATGTGGCCAGCCGCACTGCCACAGAAGATGAGCGTCACTGTCTTTGGCTGCCTTGAACCCAGGGGCACGCTTCTCTTGCTTGTCAATGTAAGTTCTACCAGGCATCTTTTTCCAATATAGACCGGATTCATCGCCATTAAAAACTTGCTGCAGTCTATAGCCTTTCTCTTCTACTATTTTCCTTAATTTTGCGGGAAATACATCTGCGGCTGTGTGGTCAGCTGATGTGGCTTCTCCAGTCAGCCTCACATTATGGAGAGAGAATCTTCTCTTAAAATTCTCAAACCAACCTTTACTGGCACTAAAAGTTTGTTAAGTACAGTAGCTGCACTACCCCCCTCACCACCTGTTGACTCGTAAACATGGGCATAATGACTCTTAGCCTTCTCACGAATCATTTTGCTGTCGATTGGCACATTTTTGCGGTGCACGTCCTCAATCCAAATGTTTAATGCTTTTTCTGTTTTCACAATGTTCTTGTCACGAACAATCTGCGCTACTTTAGCACTTGAAGGAGCACTCGCTTTAACAAAATCACAAATTGCTTGTTCATTTTTCTCTATATACAGTACTGCACTGTGGATTCATTCACACTAAACAACCGATCAGCCATGGGAGCACTCATCCCCTCCTTTAACTTATCTATTAATTCAACTTTCTTTGTCAGGGTCATTATACTGGCTTCTGTTTTTTGCGTTTCGCTCCACTAGCACTGACACTAGGCAGTCTTTTAGGGGCCATTTCACACAAGCACTAAAGTTTTGAGTACAACTCGAGATGTTGCGTCGCAGGCAATGGTTGAGTGCAAACAAAGGGAGAGGAGACGCTGCAGGTGCGTGGGGGTGATTCATTGCGCTGTGGGAGAGGCTCGTAAGCTAGCCGCCATCTGCTAACTGTGAATAGTTTAAATTGCGATTAGCAGAGGTTTACTGTACTGTACTATAAAGATGTACTGAACCAGTTTGTACTTATGTTTGTGATACTTGAGTAACCCATAAACAATTGTATACAGTAAAGTTTAGTACTTTCAGTGTACAGTATTTTCTTTAAAATACAGTGCGTGTACAATCAGCCAAAGATGCATTCAGCTTATCCTGGCTCCCGTACTCGCGATTTTACCTGACAGTACTTGGTGAAGTAAAGCTATGTAATGGTGATTGTGATTGGTGGATCTATTTTGGGCTATATCACTATCAGGATAAATATTAAACAATCCAAATCTAGCACATTTATAATAAAAACTATTCATCTTTATTTAAGATCACGATAAGTTTCCAAATAATGTACATCCATCATTAATTTATGGTAAGATTGCTG